AGACATTAAGCGAAGCGTCTTTATTACTCTCTCCCTCTCTCCCTCCCTCCATCCCTCCCCCCTCTCTCTCTCTCTCTCTCTCTCTTTTTCTCTCACCACAGTGACTTGAGCGTGCTATCATCGGTCAGCCACTGGGGGATGCTGTTGAAGGACTCGGCATCGACATCGGGGGCGGTGGCGAGCTCGACCTCCAGGCGCCTGGCGCCGTTGAACCGGATGCCGCTGAAGTGCGGGCTGGTGGGATCGCCCGACCAGCTACAGCAACCCTCCAAGGTCAAAGTGTCCCCCCCTGCCGCGTGCCGTTTGATGGTCTCCACCAGCTCGAGGGTCTCGGCGGTCGGCGGGCCCTCGGTGGTCTCACCACAGCAGTCTATGGATGTCGTCCGTCCCTCCCTCACCACCTCCCACCCCATCATCTCCGCCTCACGAATCGTCTCCACTGAGTCACTGGACCAGGCAGGTGGGTAGTCCACGTGACGAAACCGCCAGGGATGAATCAGCAGCGGACAGTCGATCTTCAGCTGGCGCTTCGTGGCGGCCTTCGACGGGGAGGGGGAGGGAGAGGGAGAGGGGGAGGGGCAGCCCGCCGCGCCGCCGCTGCCCGGCGTCAGCTGGCGCAGCAACGTCACCACCCTGCTGGTCTCCACTTTCCCGCCCCACAGCTTGAGGTGGCCCACGTGGCGCAGGTTCTTGAGCGATGGGAGGGCAGCGGTGGTGAGGGGCACCTCGCAGTTGCTGCTCAAGTAGACACCGCAGCACAGTAGTGGGAAGATGTCCAGGTGGCTGAGGGCGGGGGACGAGCCCAGCACGAACGCCAGACTGCCATCAAACGCACTGCGCATGGATGCCCGTTTGGCGTCAAGGGACGGGGACCGCTCCCAGTCGCACGCGATGTGGTCTGTCTCGTCCTCAGAGAGGACCTTGCCGGTGAGCCGGTCGAGGGCCGGGCAGACGAGCTTCTGCTGCTGGAAGAGATGCAGTCCGTCGAGGCTGTCCACCTCAACCGACGTCACCGAGGGAAACACCGCGTCGGGCCCCTTGACCTGCGCCACCAGCAGGCCACTCGCCTCTTGGTCGGCATCATCATTCCCGTCTCTCTGCTGCTTGGCTCGTGTCGTCTGGATGGCCTTGAGCGTGTCGGTGTGGCAGACCAGCTGCAGAGAGGCGAAGGCAAAGAGCCGCGCCCGGCCGATCTCCTCGACCTCCTCCTCTCTGGGCAGCAGGATGACGGCGTGCTGCTGCTGCTCGAACGTCACCAGGCTGCCGCCCGGTCCCTGGCAGCTGAGGCCGTGGTTGGGGCGGCGCCAGTTGATGACCCGGATCAGTGAGTAGATGGACCAGTAGAAGGCCCGGCACACGCAGCTCATCGCCAGGCGCTCCTTGACAGACTGATACGATGACACGTTGAGCCAGATGAGCCCATCTAGAAGGCTCGTGAGGCTTCTCCGCGCGGCGAGGCTGGACGGGTGGTCATCGCTCTGGGCCGGAGGGGCTGTGCGCGGGGCTTTGGTTGGCGGGCCGTCCATCGCTTACCACACACACACACCAGAGATCAGCTACGCCCCTCCAGCTTCCTGCAGATTCACACACACGCAACCGCAGGAGGATGCCATAGCGTCAGGCGTGCCGTTTTTCCCTACCCGCTTACAGTTATTGCGATGAACATTCATAGGCTGCCGGCACGTCTTCTTCTCCCTCTCATCCATCGTCGTGGCGGCCCGCTGTGTGTCTTCTTGCGGATGGCGGGCAGCCGATGGTCTGTCCAGTCTTGAGTATCGCTACGACAGCCAAGACCCTACAGCACTCATACAGCCGGTCCCTCCCCCTTGAGTTTTGCGAGCTTGAAG